GCAGTGAACTGATAGTGATTTTAATTAATGCCTTATAAACTGGAGTCCAAAGGAGCATCTTTAGTAACAGCAAAATGGAACAAAGACAAAAGCGAAATAGGGCTGACTTTCTTGCTTTCTGATGTGAAACCAGCTATGAGGCCGTGTTTCGGTCAGAGGCAGAAGTGTCTGGGCACGCGGGTGGAGTCCTTTGCTACCCAGGACGTCTGCGAGCTGTTCAGCCGATCACACACACAGCCCAGCTGCTGTCTGTCCTCTTGGGCTCCATCTGGGTCACACGCAAAAGGCTTCTCCACGCTTTCTGATCCTTCCTGGGGAACCGGAGAGCTATGGTGTGTGTGTGTGCGTGTGTGTGTGTGTGTGTGTGTGTGCTGCAGCTTTACTGAGCTGTCGGAGAACATCTCTGCTGGTTCTGGAATACGCTGTGAGGCACGTAGATGGAACTGGGGCCTGACAGATTGGGCTGCTTTCAGAGGCAGAGTAGGCCCAGGAGTTGTCAGTCCGGCTTTTATGGGATGGGCCCTCATTGTGCTCACTGCCCACCGGGACAGAAAAGCCCCCTGCCCCTTGCAGAAACAAGACTAACCCTGAGGGGCGGGGTGAAGGCTGGAAGGAAATCCCCAGGCTTGAGACTCCTTCGGGGGTGCCATGGCCAAGACTCAAGATCTCGCCCATCGGGACAGAGGGAGAATGACGAATGGCCTCCAAGGGGAGGCTAAGCTAGGTTGACGGGGTCCTCAAATACCTTGGGGACAAAGTGGGAGGATGGATTAGATATCTTTATCCTTCAGTTTCCACTGACTCGGGAGCTCATGTCCTTGAACTTCTGAGTTTGCACTGGGGAACTGGAAGATAAGAGCTCATGTCCGGCCATGTGGCCTTGCACAAGGCATCCAGCTTTTTCTTTTTTTCTTAACACCTTAGTTATTTTCCTTCCCAGAGAAACATTAGATTTTTGTTCAGAGATCTCTTTAAAATAACTACAGAATCTTCGCAGGCCTAGGCAGCTGCAGCAGCTGTGGGCTGCAGAGGGACTGGCATGGGGGAAGCAGATTCAGTGCTGAGGCCAGAGCATGCAAGCGTGAGCGCTGTCTTTACCCCGGCCACATCCGGCAGCGGGCAAATGCGAACCCGACACGGATGTGCACCCTCGCAGGTGGGACCTGGGTCCCAGTGCTGGACAGGAGGAGGGACTTGGTACAAAGGGTCTCACCGCTCGGGAGGGCAGTGCCTCAAGTTCATTGGCTCGCTCTCTCCTTTTATGGGCTATTCCTTCCGGAGGGAGGTTCTTAGTGACTAGTACGAGCCCACAATTTCTGTGGTACAGATGCTATGGCTGATGTGTATGACCACATAAAGGTCAAACATTCATCTGGTCAACAAGACACACACACGCACACACGTCTTCTATCTACTGCTTCATTCCCACAATAGCCAGGGCTTGGCCCAGGCCCAGGGCCAAGCCAGGAGGCTGGAACTCCATCTGGGTCTCCTATGTGGGTGGCGGGGGCCCAAGCACTTATGCCATCGTTTGCTGCCTCCCGGGATGCATTAACAAGAAGCCAGATGGGAAGCAGAGTAGCTGGGACTTGAACCAGCACTCTGGTAAGAAATGTGGATGTCCTGCAGTGGCTTCACTCACTGTGTCACAGCATCTGCCCCCGACAAACACTAAGAGCCAAATCTACTGGCGACTGATTCAGTTGCTGTGCCCAACAGCAGCAGCACTCACGCAGTCTGGCCCCATCCTGGGGGCTTCTCATACATCTTGTGTGATGCTCACAAAGCCCCGAAGCAGGGCTGATCCTCACACGAGGCACTCGGAGGTTACGTAACTTGTTCAAGGACTGTAGCTAAGGGCTGAGTCAGTGAGGTGGATCCTAAAGCCCACGCTTGTGACCACCAGCGTGTGCTGACCATGACACACCGGACTTCATGACCCTCCTGTCTCATGGAGGAGGAAGACAATGGAAAAGACAGCCGAACAGTAGTCTCATCTGCGGTTCTGCTTTCTATGGATTTAGTTACCTGCCATCGACTGTGGTTGGTAAACTTCAGAAATAAACAATTCCCAAGTTTCAGACGGTGCACCATTCTGAGTAGCGTGATGAGGTATCGCACCATCCTGCCCTGTCCCACCTGGCACATGAACCGTCTCTGGTCCAGCATATTCTGACTGCATGGGCTCCCAGCCCATCTTATTTACTAGCCTTCTTAGTTATCAGATCGACTGTCACTGTAACATAGCTCTTATGTTCAAGCAATGTGCTCCTAGTAATGGCCCCCAAACCCAACAGGAGTGATGCCGCCACTCTGGATATGCCAAAGTGATGTTACAAAGTGCTTGCTTTAAGTGAAGAGGCGAACGTTTATGACTTAGAAATATCGTAAGTTGAGGTTGCTAGGCTCTATGGTAGGAATGACTCTTCTACCCAGGAAGTTGTGAAGAGTAAGGGATGCAAGCTACCTTGCTTTCATACCTAAAACCACACAAGTTACAGGCACAGTGTAGAATAAGTGCATATTTAAGATGGCAAAGGCATTTACTTTGCATATGGATGTATGTGAAGAAACACAGCATAGGCAGCGGTTGGTGATATCCAGTGGCTCCGGGTGTGCACTGGGGGTCCTGGAATATGTGCCCCGTGGATGGGGGGGGGTTCAATCATAATGTTATTTTAGGTATTTATACGTGCCATGTGTTAACTAATGCAGGTCACACACACCTCGGCCAGGGTGGGAAGGGGTTGAGAGCCAGGAGCAAGTCTGCGGACTCCTCCAGGCAGAGGTGTGAAGGCTCTGAGATGGCAACAGAGCGGTGCACACCAGGGCCAGCAAGAAGGGAGTGAACCAATGTGAGCGAGGGAACGAGCACGAGGGAGGGCCTTGATGCAAGGGCTCTAGTTCTGCTCTCCAGCGAGCCAGGGGCCCCCGCAGGGCACTGAGCAGGGCTGTCTCCTGATCCGATTCTGGCTTTTGAAGAAGCTCAGCTTGGCAGTGGCGTGTGAGAACAGACTGCAGGGGGCACACGGGGAGGCAAGGGGGCAGGTCCCTCCTCCTGGTGGGCCTTCAGTCCACAGCCAGGCGCCATCAGCTTGCAGTGAGAAGGCTCAGGGAGCCCACCACCTCTCAGGCTCTGTCTACAGCGAACACTGTGCTTGGGTCCAGCAAGAGTCTTGACGTGAAGAGAAGTGAACAGACTTCCCAGCAGTGAAGAATCGCTGGCTAAGTAGTCCTCCCATGCTTTCTGTGTGAGGGCCTCTCCGAGCTCACGGACCACTCTCTGTTCTGCTAGGGTTCTGAGGCGGCTTTGGCCCTGGAAGCCAGCAGCCTGCTTTCCCTGGGCAGGAAGGTGCAGTCGCCCAGCAGTCCTGGGGAGGGCACCCTCACCCTGCACTCGGACCGACTGCTCCAATGTCTGCGTCTGCTTTGAGTGTGGAGTCGCTGGGGCTGTTGAAGGAGGGCCATGGTGTTTTTAAACGGGAAGTTTTAGTACTTCAAACCAAGGAGTGACACAATTAGATACAACACAAGAAATCTGTGGCACGGAATATTTACAGGACAGCTTTTCTGTGAGCAGTTTATCGTCTGAGCAACTTTGCACTCAAAGTAAAATCAGCTTGTTCTGGAGCTGTTTGCGAAGCTCCACATGGAGAAAGTGCCAAAGCATCGAATTTTCCAGAGTTTATGCACAACAAGGTCCCTGGCTGCTTGCTTTTTCTAAATTTCACTGCCAAAGGATCCCATGAAATCTTACCACTGGTGACTCTCGTTCTGAAGTTCTCAGAAATGGTGACTCATTTATCCACCATTCGCAACGTACGTGCAAATGCCAGTGAGTTTCTTTCTCTGACCACCGTATGATCTTTTCCTGCTGTTAGGTAAAGATGATTTCCGGGGCTGTCTGGATGTGGCCAAGTGCTATCGTGGACAGATGAGAGAACTCAGGAAGGCTTGTCAGGGTCTCAAATGTCATTGTGCAGTGACCGTGCCATCACACAGGTGCCGGGACGGACTTTAAACCAAGACACGAAATGCACTGTGCAGTTTCATGCATGGGTTTTTTTTTTTTAAATCTGTTTAGAGTCAAGCCTCAAGAAGGGTCAGGGAAAGACTGTAGCTAACATAACGTGAACCCAGCTGGAATCTCCCTTTCTAAAATACTACAGCAGAACTTGGGAAGACCGTGAGGGCCCCTCCCCTCCGTATTTTATGAACAAACTTACAGAAAGAAAGAAGTACAAATGAATAAAGCGGAAATGAAGGTTATGGTAGTTATTGCTGAGTCAAAGGAAAACAGTGAGAAGCGCGATTTTTTGAGAGAATGAAACAAAAAGCCAGGTGGCGGAGGCTGCTTTACCCTCTAATGCTATACATCGGACCACCCTGGAGACCACAGTGCTGCCGAGGCGCCACCCACAACGAGAGTGAGAGCAGCAGGCACAAGTCAGGGTGACCCTTGGCACTGCACAGAAGAAAACAAACATCTTCCCGCTCACTTTCTGGGGTCAGCACCCACACAGCTGCGCTTCCCACCATCTGTACCTGTAGACAACCCCTTCCCGGTGGCAACAACCATAGCAGCGGCGCTAAGACAAGAACAACATTTCTGCTTACCTTGAATCACGGTGAGAAGCACTAGGGAAGGCAGGAGAGACTCATACACGTCCACACAGACGTGTGCCATATATGCCCGTGTGTACACGTGCAGTGTGTGTCCACGAATACATGTGCAGTACAGCTTGCAAGGACTGAGATTGTAAGGAAGGTCACACTGGAGTTTCTCACACTTAAAGCATCGGCATTAACTCGGCCAGAAGGCTGCGTTCCCCAGCAAGTCTGGAGGGCTGGCATTTGTGTTGGTTCGTCTTTCTACGTCTGTATTAGTAGAAGATCCTGCGGTGTGCACCGTAAACATCGAACGCGGTGATGCCCAGTCAAGGGGGCTACGCGAGAGCCGGAGCTCTGCACAACGCCAGAGCGTCGCGGAGCCGTCTTACCTGTCGACGAATGATTCCCAGGTCTCTTTTGGCTTTATTCACTAGGGCTTGGATTTCTACAGGATCCTTTACATTTTTATTTTCTCTGAAGGCATCTCGTATCCTCCTGATAGCATACATTCTAGAAGAATTCAGAGGGAATGAAGAAGAGGCGTCAGCATGTCTGAGGTTATGCTCTAAATGAATTTAAGACGTTCTCCTTTAACATTAACTGTCTACTTGTCCCCTATGGATAACCCACTTTGATCTTTGCTCCCGAGTCATGCCAACTCATTGCTATTCTGGCATAACCAGTGAACAGATTTAGGAAAGTAAGTCGATCCCAAGTAAGTCACATCTAAAGATGGTAGACTGTGACCAAAATGCTCCCTAGGTATTGGATCTACAGGGGTATTTGCATCTGGCTTCTCCCATCTACAAGGGTAACTGAACCTTTATTTTACATAGACCACAAAAATTCAGGGGTTACATCATGCACCGCATGTGTGCACAGTAAGGCAGTGGTATCTGCTGGACTGGAGTCGGCTTGCAGTCCCCGAGCCATGGCTTGGCTCTCACTCCCCCTTCTGCAACATGAAGTGTAAGGCGCAGCCCACTGCAGTGGAGAGGGTGGATTGTGCCTATCTGCACAGCCACACACCCCATCCTCGCCCACAGATAAAGGCCACTTGCAACACGCCAGAGCGGTCCGAGAGCAAGGCCTCTCAAACATGCTGACGTGGGTGTGCACTCTTGCTCCAGCTCCTACTGTTTGTGTGAACTTGAACAAGCTTCTTAACATAAGGCCATGTTTCTGCATCTGTCAAAAAAAATGCATAACACAGCTCAGTGCTGCTGGGAGACGAGACTTTATAATGTGTGTCTGGAATTTGGCACACAGCCTGGTACATGGGAAGACTTAATAAACCCAAGTTCTTCTTCCTGTTTTACCATCATGCGATTAGCATTCCCCTCTCCACATCCTGCCTCACCTTGGGCCCACACGTTCTCTGGGTCACAGATCAGAGTGTGTACTGAGGGCAGAGTGGTCTGGATAATGAGCTACAACAGCTGACGCCAGAGGCCTCGCCCAGACACACTCCCATGTGCACAGGCCACGGCCTTCGCCCCACACTTGCTCCAGACCCAGGAGAGGCAGCTCAAGTCAGACGTCAGACTTGGCCTTCTCTGGTCTTTCTAAGGACCTGAGTGCTTTGCTTTTATCTTTAAACACCAGCTGAAGAAGCAACGCTTAGGGACAGAAGAATGGAAATAGAGGGAAAGGAATGAGAAGGAGAATATAACTTCCTTAGGTGTTGGGGGATGGGCGACTGCTGGGAGCTGAATACATACTGAGACAAATATATCCCTTTAGAAAGAACAAATTTTGCTTTAGACAAACTTTCCTAAAGTAAAATGAAATTTTCCATTAAAATTCAAATGCCAGGTCTATTTGCATTTAAAAAGCAAAAGTACAAGTAAATCCTGTAACATTAGGAACTGTAAAGGTTTGGGAACTTGCACTTTCCAAACCTAAGACTGTGCTGAGGCTTTGATCTTGACCCTGTGTGCACCAGCTACAGCGTCTGCAGAAAGCTCCGGAGTGTTCAGTATCAATCTTTTGGGGCGACAATGATGAGAAGGGGGGACCCAGGTCCCTGCAGCCACTAGACAGCTGGGGCTCATTCCCCTACAAAGGGACTAGGCGAATTTTACTAACAGAATCGCTAAGACACAGTCTCCCGTGTGCACCTGCTATGCCAGCAAGTTTTAGACAGCAGCCAGGTGAGCCAACAGCAGTTCCTGGTTCTGTGCACACTTTCTTGCGCCGAAAAATTTTTATGTAACACAGTATCACTGTTCTTCCTCATTCTGTAGGTTTCTCCTAAGTAGTTTCTTTTTCAATGGTGATGGGAGCAGAGAGGGGACAAAACAGTTTAATTAATGTTCCATTTGATATACAAGAACTTGCTTTATCACATGAATTTACTGCAGGGGGCTACCCACTGCTCAAGGCCCAGGGTACAGAATATTCTGTTGCATATTCTCTGTCTGCCTAACTTTCCATAGTCCTGACCCAAGGAAATGAAGCTCAACATCTTGGAACTAAATGTGTATAAAGTAATCCAGAGTTGTGATTCAAATGGTGTATGTGCTTGGTTAAAAAATTTATTTTACTTGAAAGGCAGAGCTACAGAGGAGAGGCAGAGGCAGAGGCAGAGAAGGACAGAGAGAAAGAGAGAGATTTTCCATCTGCTGGTTCACTCCCCAAATGGCTGTGGATGGCTGGAGCTGAGCCAGTATGAAGCCAGCAGCCAGGAGCTTCCTCTGGGTCTCCCACACAGGTGCAGTCATGTGGGTGCAGAGGTCCAAGCACTTGGACCATCTGCCACTGCTTTCACAGGCACATTAGCAGGGAGCTGGATCGGAAGTGGAGCAGCCGGGACTCTAACCAGTGCCCATATGGGATGCCAGTGCTGCAGGCGGCAGCTTAAGCCACTATGCCACAGCCACAGCACTGGCCCCTGGATGTACTTTTAAAAAATCAAGATTTCTTCCTTTATTTGAAAGGCAGAGGGATAAGCGAGAAGGAGTGGGGGAGAGGGAGAGAGATCTTCCATCTACTGTTTCATTCCCTAAATGGTCACAACTGCTGCGGCTAAGCCAGGCTGAAATCAGGAGCCTGGAACTCCATCTGGCGTCTCCCACGTGGGTGGCAGGGGCCCAAGGACGTGTGGCCTCTTCTGCTAGTTTTCTAGGTGCATTATCAGGGAACTGGACTGGGAGTGGAGCAGCTGGACGTCAACGGGGGCTCCCACAAAATGCTGACATTGCAAGCAGCAGCCTAACCTGCTGCGCCACGACGCCTCCCCGGGATGCACTTTGGAAACAAAGGATGCAGGGAGCGGTTCCCTTCCCCTTGCTGCAGCTCCTGGCCTGCTCCTCGTCCCCCTGCACCAGCTGAAGCGCAGGTTTTATTCTTTGCCCCACAGAAGCCCTTCCCTGGCTCAGAAGCACAAAGCATGAAAGGTTTACTTCTCAGTTGTATAAATTCTTATTTCAAATGATCACAATTTTGTGCCGGTAATCACGAATCTGGCCAAACCTTCAACTTCTGTTAGGAGAGGGCTAACTGTCAGGTCCACTCCAGTCTCTGCCCTGGTTTTTATCCTTTTCTTGCTTTCTGCCACCCGGCGCTGGCTGCTAAGGTAAACCATTTATCCTCAAGTGCATTCTGGCTATCAGCCTCCTGACGGCATCGCTGAGCAAGAGCGTTTCAGAGAGAAATGGGCAGGTGTGGTGATGAAAAGTGCAGGGAGCCGCTGCCGCACAAGGCCTCCCGCGAGGGTGATCCTAACTGGAGCCAGATGCTGTCTGCAACGAGGCAGGGCCAGTTAACACAGAAAGGGCAGCGGGACCCAACAGGAGGCAGGGCTCTGCTTCCACGGGACAGGAAGCCGATGCTTCACACACACGCACACACGCACGCCTCCACCCCCCACCCCAGAAGCCGGCGGCAGACCCCCGTTTGGCCTGCCCTTGGGTCCGCCATCAGATGTCGTGTCTGCAGGTTCTACCACTGGCTGGCCCTTCGCCTCTGCTCACGCCAAGTTTCCAGCAGCAAACCTGCCCAGGAGGCAGGAGTGAAAGCTCCCGGGTGCCCGAGGTCTGGCTTTACTTCCTCCCCTCCCAGCAACCCTTGGGTCAAACGCAGGCCATCATCGCGGCGGCCAGTGCTCGAGGCTCCCGTCAGCTTCGGCACCTGACTGTGATCTGACCAGTTAATGAGATGCCTCTCATTTCTGTCATTTTTCATTAGCCTAGCTTCTCTGCTTATCTGGCCCATAAACACAACCGTGCTTTCTCTTGCAAAACCCCGTCAAGTATTCCAGGAACAAAACAGCTCAATCCTTTCCACCAGTCTCTTTGGGGCCAACACCCATCCACCTTCATCTGGGTAGAAGGCTGTGCCCTTGGCTCACGGGCCGTACCTCAAAGGTCCTTGCCCCAAGCCAGTGCTACATTCTAGCTTATTCCGTGGGAGGGAGTGGAGACTGGTAGAGTGTTCCGGGATCCTGCTGCTGCTTCAGATCCTGGTTCGCCCTTATTTTACCTGAGAGGCAAAGCCACCTGACTATAAACCGCACAACGTGCCTCCGTGCCAAACTCCGCTACCTGCTCACTTCTGGAGTCGAGTCCCCAGGACTGATCAAACCTTAACATCTAAAGGCACCCTGCACATACACGAACTACTGCTGTTTAAAAAATCTCCACCGTTATTACTAAAAGTAAAATATTTCAAAAGCAATAATTTTTGGGCCAGTGCTGTGGCATAGCAGGTAAAGCTGCCACCTGCAATGCCAGTACCCAACCTGGGCGCTGGTTTGACTCCTGGCTGCTTCACTTCCCATCCATTTCCCTGCTGATGTACCTGGGAAAGCAGTGGAAGATGGCTCAAGCGCTTGGGCCCCTGCACCCGCGTGGGAGACCCGGAAGCTCCTGGCTCCTGGCTTTGGACCAGCCCAGCTCCGGCTGTTGCAACCATCTGGGGAGTGAACCAGCAAATGAAAGATCTGTCTCTCTGTCTCTTTCTCTCTCCATAACTCTGCCTATCACATAAATAAATCTTAAAAAAAAACACAACAGCTTTCATGACAGAAGTGATGCCATTTGTCATCATTTAGTGAGGCATCTGTATTAACGTCAGTGACGGAGGGCTCCACAGTTAGCAGGTTTCTCTTTCTAGTCTGTAGATCTACTAGATGGTCTCGTCGGGTTCTATAGCCCCTTACATGACGTATTCCATAGGGTCTGCCTGTGGCCCTCTTCTAAGGAAAACCTTGTCACTGCGTCTGTGTCTAAGCCTTTAGCTGTTGCACGTAAGCCAGGGGCTCCCAAAATTTCTCGCTTCTGAGTTTCCAGTTCATATAACCCAACTGTCAACAAAAATGTAGATTCTTCCCGTGGAGAAATCACTGCTTTCCTTTTCCTTTGCTCCAAGTGGCCAGTATTTCGTCCACACGTAGGGGCACTGCCCACTGCCCACTGCCCACTGCCCAAGTCGGACACAGACTTACCTGAAATTCTTTCTTTTCCTGCAAGTCCCCGCATTCAAGCGATCCCAAGTCTTACTATTTTACC